TTAATTATTTTGTTATGATTATAAATGTAAACAGTTATTAACCGACTACCAAAAAGGAGGAGGTTCTCAATTCATCGGAATCTTTTTTTTATGTATGTTCACCGATTACTCGAAGACACATGAAGCGATTTGGTTTTTTTGTTTTAAAGGGTACTTCCCAGGGAACCATTCATATAAATTTTATCGAAAACGGTATAGCGGTTTTTAAAAAATATCTACAATAAGTTTTTTTTTTAAATAAATTGTTTAATCGAATATGTTATTAAAAAACTTTCTTCTTACCAATTACTTGCTTATTACGTCTACACTAAAAATGGAAAAATAAAAACTTAAAAAACATATAAACTTTCGAATTTCTTATAGTATTCCAGTTGCCATGAATAAACAGAATATCTCTATGAAAATTTAATTTAATATAACTTCGTAAATTGTAATAAATAAGCGGTAACCTCAATGAAAAGTTCAACCCATTTACATATAGCTCATATTTAAAGTCATCTTTCATAAAAAGTGTCATGAAAGAACAGATATAAACAAAAGTAATCAGGGGAAGTGATGAACTGTTGAGATGACAAAAAAACTTTTTCTTTAACAGATATTACTAAGTAGAAAGTTTAATGATGTTATTTTTAGTGTAAAAGTTGTTTTTACTGAGCTGATTTTTCCCGGATAGATCCTTGTTTTAATTTACATAATTTTTGATTCAATTATTATCTTATGCTAAGTTCATCATTTAAATATAATTTTATTAATAAGAAATAATCTATACATATAATAAAATTGTAGAGGTCGAACGTCTGTACATAGAAAAAGAATGCTAAAACCCGAGTCAGGGGGATGTACGAAGAGAAATAGAACAAATCCAGATATTTTTCGATTTTTTTGTTTCTCAGTCTGTTTGTACGGGCTAATCTCCGAAAATGTTGTAACGATTAAAATGAAATTTTGTATGGTGGTACCTTATATCCATGGTCAACATTTTAGATACTTTTCATCCCGGAAAATTGAATAGTTCCCGTGGGATGCGAGTTCAAATCATGGGTTTCGCATATCTGACAATTTCCATGTTCGAAGTGTTTCCAACATAATTGCCACTTGTCTTACGGTGTAGGGAAAATCATGAGAAAACCTGCATGTTCAGACATACGGGTTTCTCTCTCTCAGGAGAATCTAGCAAGTTTTCGAAAGACAAGTGAAGCCCGCTAAGCCGTATTTAGCCGCGTGGTGGACTATGGCCCTCGTATTGAAGGGAAGTCCGCGCTCAGCAGGGGCACGTTAAAAAGGGCTGAATACATAGAAATATATGGAAAAAATGTATAAATCAACTTCATTTTTCTGTACTTGTTGTATCTAGAGGGATCATTTCCACACCCTTCATATTTCTCTGGCTCTTCTTTAGCTATAAATATATATTTAAATATACTTTTTCTATATTTTTTATTACTTTTTAATCTGATTTTCAATCCTCAGATAAAATTCATCCAACAAAGCAATTATAACCTAACGAAATAATAATTAAAGCATTTTATTCATATGTAATTTTGAAATTCTTCATATATTTTTACCGTTCGAGTAACTTTTAACTGAACGCGCAAAATAATGAACATTTTTTCATTTCACTTAGAAAGTAAATTTTAATATGTTAAAAGGCAAAATGCTAAAGTTTAACTCAGTTTTATTTTAAGCTCCGTTTTTATACGTCATTACACTCAGTATCTTTCTCATAAAAAGCCAAAGTTACGGCCCACTGCATTGTGCTTGAAAAATAACTTAGTGTCTTTTGGAAGATACGAGTATAATGGTTTGTAAAATAGCTTAGATACAAGTTGGTAGATATTTAAGACTTTTTGATAAGTTATATTTGATTACTTTGTTTTTGTGAGTTATTGTGTGTTTCTAAGCTTGTGGCATGACACGTGTGGCTTATTATGAAATTTACCTGGAGGTGTTATTTTCATATGTTAGGAATGTATTAATCATGTTGTCCTTGTCATTTTTTAATAATATTATAATTGATAAAGTAGCTCGGTATGTTCACGCTTAAACCGCTGATCAGATTTCGATAAAATTTGACAATTACATAGATTGCATCCTAGAATCGGACATAAGCGATCTTTATACGATTATTATACGAGCAAAGCCGCGAGAAAAAACTAATATTGCTTATGATTTTATTAAATAAAGTATATAGAATCAGGATAATCCATTAAATGTTTATACAAACGTCTTTATCATTCAAAATTTACGTCAAATCAAACGCAACGCAAACGCCAAGAATGAAAAATGGAATGCAAAGTCATAATATCCATGACAAAAGAATACTCAAAACTTGATAAAAGAATTTTCATTGAATTTCACCGAGTTATATACCAAGAATATGGCTTAAGTTGTAAAACTTATTCTATTGTAAATAAAGACTAAAATCCAATGGAATTAATAAGACGTTTAAGAATCGGGGATTTACGGTTGAATATTTTTACCGATTTCATTTTGAATATCTCATATGGAAATCGGGTGTACTCGTCAATATGTCTCTATTTCATGCAAGGTTGTTGACCGGCTTATAGCAATAAAGGTACTAAATATGGATATATATTCATTTTTATATGTAACGGGTTATATTCGAAAATACTTTTAAATCGATTTTCATGAAAAGATTTACCTCAAATCACCACTTATATTTTGAAGAAATCAAAAAAAAAACATCCAGTAACATTTGTTTATAATATATTTAAATTAAATAATAGTACAAAAATGTTTGTTTTAATGAGACTTTATTATAAATTCACTTGACAGGTTTGGCTCCGTTTGTAGTGACCCTACTTGCTGTGCCAGCGGTCGCGAGTTCGAGACCCACTGGCGAGGCATGTATTATGGATACCAAACAGTTACACTACACATATATAACTTTAGATACCCATGACAGGAGTACAAACATTCGTGCTCATCACACAAATGAATGCCCCCAGTAGGATTCGAACCCGCGACCACTGGCACTGCAAGTAGGGTTACAAACTATTAGTTATATAATTAATTAGTAGCACTACAAACTAAGCTAAACGTCAAATGAGATAGTTCGCTATAAGAAATTTTAGACAAAATAATCGACCGTATGTGTTCATTTTATGGTCTATCGGTTTACGTCGTGGCGATAATAGAGGTCGACTTTCATAAAGGATAAGATTCTCTACGGTTAAATTCTTTAGGCCGTGAGCTTATCGTTTGTTTTAGACTCTAAGAAACTTGTAATTTTGATTTAATTACTGATAATTCTTGGGCATAAATACAGTTAATAAGATTAATATCAACTAGGATTCAGTTTTAACATTAATTTACAATTAAATTTACCTAATTTTAGATAAAATTTCGTATAAAAGGGAATATTACAAGAGAAATAAAATTAATCAAAAGTTAATAATTTATACAATGTATGTATATATAATGTACATAACCGGTTTTTTGGTGGGTACTATTTCGTACGAAGTATTTAAAAAGATCAGTATGATGTAAATCATATGGCAAAACAAAATCGCATTATAACGGTTCTATTATAATTACATAAAGTTAGTCTGGCCGTATGTCACAGCTACTTTAATCAGAGACTATTGATATTAATTTACTATTACCTCTTTAATTACCTCGGTGATGTAGTGACTGCCCCATACGGGTCCTGAGTTCGAGTCTTGGTCGGGCCAAATATAACCGTGTATTTCTAGATATTTCTGTCCCAAAAAATCCCTAAGTAAAATGGTCTCTAAAAGTAACTTAAAAATATCTATAAAAAAGTCAAAGTAAAAGAAAGAAAAAAATAAAAATGGCATTCCATATATTATTAGTAAAACATCAGATAAAAATCTGATAGGTGTTTCTAAACGATTTTTTATTTAAATTAATGATTTTGACAGCAAACATTTTGTTTCTCTTTGATTTTTAAGGTATGATATAGTTAATTCCGAAAAACTTTAAGATAGTAGAGCTTTCAAAATACTTTCAAGGAAAATTATTTTGTAAGGAAAATTGTTTTTGATATATGATTTCACGTAAAATTAATTGTATGTTTTACAGTATCTTTGTGAAACATTATGAAATACAATTTAATTTCAATGCTATATTAATAAAATTGGTCGATGAAGACGACAAGTGTTAGAGTGGTCACCGCGTTTAGACAAGCGTAGTGTAGAACGTAAAAAAGGTGGCGGATGGATGCTAGCTGCCGAGGACTGGGATGGTTGGTGTTCATTGGGGGTGCCTTCGTTCAGCACTAGACGTCGATAGGCGGAGTCATTAATATCAATAATATGAATATAGTCGTTGGGTAAATATTTAATTTTAATTATTACCGTATATTAATTATGTAAGTTAAAATCAACAAAGTTTGGTGTTTCGGAATCCTTAGTTATACCTTTTCACTTTTTTTTTATTTTTAGTATCGCTTTCGTAGATATTCGCGTTGTATTTTATTTTATGAATAATATTTGTCTAGAGATGTCAGCTCTTATTAATAAAAATGTTGGGATTTTTCGCTCTAAAGTATGTAATATTTTCTTTTATTATGCTTCAAGTTAAATAAAAGAACTTGACACCAAGCGAATTGAAATTTTTATTACAGTAGACTGTGGAGAATTTATTCATATTTTAAAACGCTGTGATTTTGTGGGATTTGATTTTAACAGTCCATTTGAATAAACGTGAAAATTATTCGCAAATAAAAAATATATATACCTATATTTTATATAATAGTATATATACTAGTTTGTATAGCATTTATTTTGTCATATTTTCCCATTTTTGAATTACAGAAATCGTAGAAAATTCTAAATAATTACTTAGCGGATGTTGGCTGACACCTGACTTGTATTTATTTAAATCTTTAAATAAAATTGTTATTTAATGCAAGTTCTTTATACCTTCTTTATACCAGAAGATTATAGAGTGAGGATATATTATCTTACTAAGTAGAGGAAGCAGAAGAAGAAAGAAACCTTCTTAAGTCGACTTACCTCGTTCATATAATGCCAAGCTTGACACGCGCGGATCGGGCTCAAAGGCTTGTAATGATTTCCAAAGGTGTACATATAAAAGAGCCATGGTGCTGGGAAGAGCATGGTGAACATATCACATAACGCCATGGCCATCAGGACGACGTTTGTAGGAGTTCTCATATGACGGCGTGATAGCACAACGACTATAAGCGTATTGGCCACCGTGGTTGTTGCTAGGAGAAATGGGGCGATGTATCTGAAATAGAAATTCTCTTTAGAAATAATAAAAATCATTATGGATATTACAAATTAGTGACGTTTCAGATTTATATCCCTAAATACCTTTTGTATTTATATTATTATTTCTATTTGTCGTTGCCTATATATGTATTGCTTGTTTGAATAAATAAGCATTAAGCCTTATGTATTGGGGAAAATCCGTACAATACGAGTATTTCTGAGATTAGCCTAAAATGTACAAACTCAGTATATGGGGGTTTTATAATATGTAGTGGTGAGTGTGTGCTCGTCTCAAAAAATATCTGTCAGATAAGAAAAAGTCCACATTTTATAGCTTATTTACTATATCTAACATCACTCTACGACCTTTACGTAAGGAGCAGTTATAAATAAATAAACTACGAAAGGAGATAAGCTAGTTGTTTTTAAATACCATCCCAATCTATATGTGTTCACATGCTGTGCGATCGTTGGTGGTGGGGGCTCATTAGCGTCCAGCAATCTAGCCGGGCGTGAAAGCAATAGACACATTGGGACGCGGCCTACCGCGGTAGGTTGTGTACCATGTGGGTTGCTTCTGATACTTCTCTGATAGCAGATTAGATCGTGAGAGTAACCTCTTGGTTGTGATGGTCTGCATCGGCAGGCCTGGCGTCGGGGTGACGTCTTTAAGTGCATGAGCGAAAAGACCCAACAATGAAACTTGGCCTGATGCGAGATTCAAAGCCAAGACTTCTGGTCTGCAAACGTACTTGCCAGCCATTGGACCACCGAGGCAGTTAAATATTTAGTTTTTTAATAACATATTTAGTGATAAACATTATTATTTTTGCCTACATTGAAAACAAATAACATTTTATGTTTCATATATCTTACATACATACATATATTACAAGCGTAAAAAGTGCTGATTGGCGTCACAATATTATTAAGTTTAATATTAAAAAAAATAAGAAGTACGAGGCATAAACTGTCTTTTATTCTCCACACATTATTGGTACTTGAAAAACTAATATAGACTGGGCCTTGTGATATAAAATTCTATAGAGCTCTTTAATACAATACGTCCATATGAAGCCTTTATAATAAGAAAATAAAACAGCCACTTAACTAACACTGTTATTGGAAAGTAATATCTATATATTAATACGTGAAGAGAAAACTTTGAACCCATTTTTAAGCTTATTGCGTGTATAGAGGGGGATGAGCTTTGGCATAGTTAAAATTTTATATAGAGAAGTGCAAATAAATCTTGTTGGTAATAATAGGAGTTATTTGTTGATTTGTTAATTATAAATATAAAAAAATAAAATATAATTATATTATTAATATAATTATATTATTTATTTATTCAAATTTCAGTACATACATAGCAAAAACAGTTAAAAACGATAATAATTGCAGAAGTTAAGAAATTGTGCCGCAATTATTAACGCTCTCCACCAGTTTTCCTGCACTGACTGCGGAAAGCCAAAATTTATTTATATATAATTACGTCAATTAAATCCAACTTAATGAATTATGGTTGATTTTCAACCACGGGGTGATCACTCCGCTAGTAATTTTAAATATTTGTTTGTATTGTTGTAGGTAATAATTGTAATCTAGTAATCTAGTGTTTCCCCAGTTCGAAATTCATCTATAATCAAAATTTGAGGGAAAATAAGTCGAAAAGGGCACAAAAGCCAAGCGATGGTTAGCATAAGATAAAGATAAAAAACTTTTATTAAAACTTATTTGCTCTACTATTTGGTAGAAGCTCTGTGTGTTTTTAATTTTGGCCTTCAGAGAGAAAGTATAGTAGCTCTTCAATCCGTTTTCAATATTTAACGTAACGAATGGTAGTGCCTAAAGGCTTTTTGTCCTAACAAGACTGGGTCAAAAAATTAAAAGGCTGAATGTGTCTGAAACATTCGCTTTGAACAGGAATCGTTGAACGTTATCTGGGTTTGTAGCCAACTTTTAAAAAGGATGTTTTTTTACTGTGTTTTTTATATTTCAAACAGGAGTTTTGCAGTTGGTTAAGGTGAGATTGGATATTATTTATAACTAGCATTGCCCGTGGCTCCACCTGCGTTCAGATGACCAAAAATCAAATTCTTAGGTTTTACATATTAGTATACTCTTACATTGCAGTTTTTCTATTTTTTTTCAGAAATGAGATATTTTCCCGCAGTAAAATGTATTCTATATGTTGACCCGGATAACCAGCTATCGCCATACCAAATTTCATCAAAATCCATCCAGTAGTTTTTCTGTGATGCGGTAACCGACAGACAGACAAAAATTCTAATAACTATAGAGTCGGCCTCTGTAACCATAATATGTTTATTTCAATAAGATTTTCCAAAAAAAAAAATTAATGTACAGATTCGACTTAGTTACAATTTTATTATTTGTATACCTAGCTAGGTATTCCAGTAGTAATTTATTTAATATGTTATTTATTTAATATTCCGCTCCTAATGCTCGTGGTGTAAAAGTTACCATTTTCTATACCTAAATCTATATACTAATATTACAAAGAGAAAAGAATTGTTTTTTTTGTATGTTTGGTTTTAATGGATTAACTAAAAATCCACTGAACCGATTTAGATGAAAGGTATGAATATAGTTTGAGCTCCTAGACAGGATATAGGGTAGTTTTTATTCTGGAATCATCCTTTAGGGGGTAGAAAAGGGGGGTTAAAGTTTGTATGGGATGATCATTTCTCAAATAAGGGATATATAACTCATCATACGTACATATATATACGCTAGTATGCTATAAGACGGCAAAAGGTCCATTCTAGTTGGACCGGTAGTTGCAGAAAATGGCGCTTCCAAACAAAGAAAAATGTAAAGCAAATTCTACTTTCATATATTAATATAAATGAATATATTTCGTTACGAGATTCGATACGAGCGATATTTTACGAGATACAGACGAGTCAATCTAAATATATACGAAATAAATGTTTTATTAAAGAAATTTAACAAACACTAATTACTTATTTTATTAAATTTTTAGCTTTTATGAATAAAAGATATTAAAATTATTTAACAATATTAGGCATCTGTTTCATATTGCTAGATATTACAAGAGAAAAGATGTAGGTATGTGTACATTAAAAACATAAATAGTAATTTATTACATTCTTTTTACGTTTATATATTAACTTTTTTTTATATAGATATATTGTACTATTTTGAGGTCATACTTAAATGCATGTTTTTATCTATACTAATATTATAAAGAGGCAGAGTTTGTTTGTTTGTTTGTTTGTTTGTTTGTTTGTTTGTTTGTTTGTTTGTTTGTTTGTTTGTTTGAACGCGCTAATCTCAGGAACTACTGATTCGATTTGAAAAATTATTTTTTGTATTAGATAGCCCGTTTATTGACGAGGGCTATATTATATCATCATGCTACTAGCCAAGGGCGCGGAGCAGTAATCATAAATGTCATAGAATCGAGCAGACTTCCATACATTATTGTAAAACTGATGTTTATAATATGTTTAAGTGCTTTAAGCTCAGAAACTACTGAGCCCATTCCAAAAATGCCTTTTGCATAAAGCCAGAGTTTTTTTGTAGTTTTTGCGCGAGCGAAGCCCTGGGTTCTGCTATTTAACTAACTTAACTAAACTAAAAGAGTTAACTGCCTCTTATTACAATTCTCATAGAAAAATCTAAATATAGACTGCTTATCAATACTAAACTTATAGATATGAAAGTAACTCTGTCTGTTAGATTTTCACGCTTAAACCGCTAAATGAATTTCGATAAAATTTGGCAAGGACGTAGATTGTGTCCATTTTTTTTTAACGTTGGGAAATGCATTTACGCACGACGTGTGGGACTCACCGGCGTAATACAGCCAGTACTACCCACTAAAACCCCACAAAACCTTCCCCCGTCTTAATGGGGCGTCGCAGGATCGCTTACGCATTCAACTACGACGCCCCGACGGCAGGTCTGCCAAAGCAGACCACAACAACCACGGGGTTGTTCCAAGGTCCACTCTGCTATCAGAGAAGTACCAGGAGCAACCCGCATGGTACACTGCCCTCTGAAGAGGGCCACCTCCCACCGCCCACTGAAGTGGGCAACCTCCCTGTGCGTTTTTTAGCTTCGCTACTACTACTGAGCCCCCCCACCACGACAAGGTGAACGCACGTTGGGGGGGACGTAGATTGTATCCTGCTATCGGATATAGGCTACCCTTGAACTCCGCCCCGCCTATCATGCAAGCAAATCCACGGGCAAAAACTAGTGTAGTATATTTTTGAACATTATCGGTATCATTATCTTCATAAACACTTGTTGGCATTAAATGGCATCCTGAGACTTTTGATCGTAAATACAATTAGCATTTGGTCTACGAGGGACTTTCTAGAAGAGAGTAAATGGACGATTCTCTCTTACTTCATCTTCCACTCTCTCTTTTTATAGAATTACTATGATAAATGCGAATGTTTGTATGTATTCACATACGTATGTTTTACCTTCACGCTCAAATGGCTGGGCAGATTTTAATTGTTTAATTGTAGACAAACAGACTATGACCTGGAATAGCACATAAGCTACTGCTAGGCACTTGGAGCGGCATCCGAATAACGTGAGGCTAAGTCATTAAGTTGCAAACTTTACCAATAAACATTAATATATTAAGATTACTCACCCATACATAGGTTCCGCATAGTTGATAGGGAATTCGCATGTAACATTCAAATAAACGTGCGAGTGGTTCGATGCACAATAATCTTCTGATGTGAAATTAGAAAATTCGAAAACATCGGACTGATTCTCATTGTAACTATAATTTAACTTGGGTGCTAATATTACTGGATATTTATCTTCTTTTCTGGATATATTGTATTGTCCGCCGAAGTAATCAGTCCAGTCGTCGGGTGCTTCCATTTTTGCTGTTGATGTGTTATCTTATGCTAAATCGTGGCATGTTTGTTTTTTTAATTTCGCGGAAGCGATGGGTTCACTTCTTTCTTTAATAACTTTATCTGTGGACAAAATAAAAGTTATGTTAATAAAACGTCAAGTGGGAGCATTCGAAACGCCAGGGACCTAAAATCTAAATAAATCCACGATATAATCCGAAAAGAAAATTTTTTTAAATGTCAAATATTCGCGTAAATCTAAGAAAGTTTCATAGTTGTTTAATTGTAATCTATATTTAAAGTAAACTTCGGTTACCTTGAATGGACAAATTAGCCCCTACTAACATCACAAATGAGAAAGTGTATTCGTTCATTTATTGGTTTATCCTTGTTTTGTACAACAACAGATCGACATGATGTTAGATGGATATATACGTAGTTTTCGGATAGGGAAATTGTATAGTTTACGATTCATCCCATTAAAGTAGTGTGTCGTAAAAGATGATCTAGGGAAGTGATCTATTAAAATACTTGAGATTATTTTTGTTATGGAGGAAAAATATGTTTATACTGTAATATAAAACTCACTGTATTTCAAGATATGTTGATATGAAGTATATTTTTTAACTTATAAATAAGTATAACAATATAAATGCAGTGTAAGGTTTCACTTTAAAAGCGGTTTATTAAACAAAGTAGTAGGTATATTATGTAAATATTCATGTTATATATTTACATAATATACCTACTACTTTGTTTAAAAATAGGTCGTTTCGAATTGTCGTCTCCCTGGAGTTAGAGAACGACAGATATAGAGAATGTACTTGTGCACTATAATATCTCCCTGCACAGTTGGCTAATAATAATATTAACTCCCACGGCTGGAATCGGTCAGGATGATATTATAAATATGATATTTACTTAATACTACTACTGCTAACTAAAACATTGTTTATACCACCTTAGTCGATACGAATGTATTAATAAAGTTTAAAAAGAGCAGCAGAGCTGTCTTCCAACACACATATAGATGATGATACACTATACGAATGATGTTAAAAATGAAGCTGATGTTTCTAAAGTTCTGAATATAAGAATAAATACAAGGAATATTTCGAAGTTTTATTAGTAGTTTAGTCTCATCCTACCGTAGCTTAAGAGTTTTATATTAGAACAAACCCTTTTATTTAACACAATTATTTTCCTTTAATAAAGTCGGTTAGAATTCTATTGAAGTTTTTATTCTATGGAACATTTTAGAAGCCTACATCACTTACAAGGTATAAAGGCCAGTGGACACGCTTGAATGGCTTTTGATAAAATGAAAGACTTCTGTGAATACGGCTTTCTGTATTTAGTGCCTAGGAGTTGCCAGTTTTTGTGCCAAAATTATTTACGTTCGTTATTCTGCAGTGTGATGTGCTGTTATTTTGCTTATATTTGCATTATGCTTTATTATACTGGCTTTATAGTTGACATCTATGTAAAGAGCGAAATTGCAAATTTTTTTTGGATTGGAGTTGTGATGATAGTCACTTTTTAACTTAAAAGGTTAATTCAGGTCCAAAATTACTTTAAAAGTAATTACTCCAGCGACAAAAACATACACATAAAAATACAGCCAAATTTATACTTACTACTGACTTATTATTTTTTTGAAATCGGTTAAAAATCTAGATCTAGATCTAAAAGTAGGTAAATTCACATCATTAGATATTCTTTAGAAAGTAAAGTTTCATTAAAGCAAAAAAAAATATGTGACAGTCTAGAAATATTTCGCGAGTATATTCTTACCTCGACTTAACACGTCCCGTGAGGATTATATCGGGGCTCTGATGTATTATATCTTTTGAAGTCAAAGTTTATCGCCTCGTGTGCGAAATAGCGTGAATGGAATATTCTCCCTTCATATCTAAGAGGATTAGCTTAAAAAAATGTATGGAGAAATATAGCGTATGACGTGCAATGGCGAATATCTCAAACTATTTCTTTATGCTTCATTTGGGAAATATCTCATGCGCACATTTATTTAGAGAATCACTTGCAGCCAATGTTTCTATAGATTTTTGTGTTATTTTATATATTTTTCATATATTCAATCGTATTATGCAGAAACCCTTGGTCCATGCAGTCAAAGTGCTACGCACTTCTTAAAAGACATGACACCTCATTTTTCGCCCAAAAAATCGGCAATGCCATTCAGTGGGAAATGCGACTAGCATTCTTGCAACTATTCCACGTGGAAATGACCTGTACAGTAATAATTGAGTGTACATTTATTTTGTATGTATAAATAAGTATATTTATAATTTTATTTGCTATTTAAGCAGTTTTTTGGCGGTGTTAGTTAACTGGTTTCCTAGTTTAGCTACAGCTGGTATATAACCTTTATTAGCAAAAATAGTTGTTTCTGGGTTTAAGAGTGTGTGTGTATGTTTTTTACTCTTTCAAAGTGAAACGACTGGACGTTGTAGGGGGTAATCTCTAGATTTACTGAACTGATTTAGATGTTTGGTAAGAAGATAGTTTAAGACCCTGGAAAGGACATAGGATACTTTTTATCCCGGAAATCATCTCTTAAGGGGGTGAAAATGGAGCTGAAAGTTTGTATGGGGAATCAAACCGGAACGAACCCGAGCGAAGCGAGCGTGAGTCGCTAGTTATTTATATAAAGAGAAAAATATTGATTGTTTTGTATTAACTCACTAAAGGCACCTAAGGATGCACTTGCGCGAAGCAACAGTAATTCACTAGTTATTAATATTTTTCAATCAGCATAAAGAAAGCAAACAAGCAATTATGACCTGCCTTATAATGATGATGTTCTCCTAGCCAATTCCGGCTACGGCGGCCAATCTCATTGAGATTAGTCAACTGCGCAGGAGATATTATAATAAGCAGTAGATATTCATAGTATACTTACAACACCTGAGACACTAATCGTTAGCACTTAAGATGGAGGGAAAAGTGGGCGGTGGACCCTCAGGCATTCTTACTCACTAAATGGAATGAAACAGTAAGAGCATTTTCCCCGGTAGATATAGATTCATATAGATGGTATATGTAGCTGATATCAGTGTGGTTCGCCTAAGAGCATAATAAATAAATAAACATGTTGGGACATTAACACAGCACCATCTAGTTCCATGGTAAGCTACGAGACTTGTGTTATGGATACCAGATAGTTGATACACTACACATATAAAACATTAAATACATACATATTATAAATATAAACACCCATGACTGAAGTACAAACATTCGTGCTCATCACACAACTGGACGCCCACAGCGGCATAGCAAGTAGGGTCACTACAAACTGAGCCAAACGTGTCGTCCATTACAAATAAACTAATCCACGTAGTAAACTGTCATTAGTAGTAGAAAATATGACAGTGACAAGAGGTTATTCTCTCATCGGTGATTGGAGCCGCCATTGATATTGTGTCAAACTATTTTAGATTCACTTAGAAATATTTTGATTATATTATTGATAACGATATGTTTTAACGGTTAGTATAAAATAGATAGACTATATATTATACTATATATAGCCTATAGACTTTCTCAATAATCGAACTATCTAATGCAAAAAGAATTGTTAAAATCAGATTAGTAGTTCTTGAGATTTGCGCGTTCAAACAAACAAAGTCTGGCTTTTTATAATATTAGTACAGATGATTGGTTTTAATAGAAATCTGTCATGTTTGATTCTGAAAATATTTATAAGATAATTTCTAAACAAAATAAGAGAATAAACACCAGCACACCTAACTAAGTTTAGAAATTCGACGTGAGAAAATTCACAGTGTAAGTCGTTTAAAAGGGAGTGACGTTACTAAGGAAACTCACCATCACAAAGCAAACTGTCACAAAATTAGATTACCTCAAGGAAGACTTTGTACTTTGAATAAAATTAAAGGAAAAAATTAATTTAACCATGGGTTTGGGTTTAAGTGTTTATTTAAAATACTATGTCACTTAGCCTCGCTTCGCTCACGTGTGTATAATAATACTTTACCAGACCGATATCGGACCGAGAACAGACTGTGATCGGATAGTGTGGATCGACCTTTATTATTATACAAGGCATATCCGCGAGTACAGGTTAGAATGCTCGTTTCATTCCATTGCGCTTATGAAATTTTTTAATTACGATCAAGGCAGCTTAATAAAAGTTGCTGATTAGAATTAATAACAACTGGAGTCGATCAAGAACTACTCGTATATAAAATATCATAGCACATTTTATTCCAGATTTTTTTCCATTCATTAAATCCCATATTTTAGATCGATCCAGACACTTGGAAATAATCATGTTAATTGAAAAGTTTACCCAAAAAACTGCAAAATAAGAAAGTTTTCCCATAATGTTAATCGCCTGTAATTTCTTTTCTTCTTTAAATAAAAAGTACTCTATAATCGTCTAGAACACAAGTTGGGTAGAAAAACGAATACACAATATTAGTTTAAATAACTTATTTATAGCATTAATTTATTATAATACTAGCGACTCAATTTCGCTTCGCTCGGGTTCATCCCTAGCTTGCTTCCCAATACAAACTTTCATCGCCATTTTCATCCCTTCAAGGGATGATTTTCGGGATAAAAAGTATCCTACACCCTTCCCAGGGTATGAAACTATCTTCTTACCAAATTTCATCTAAATCGATTCAGTACATTGAGAGATTACCCCCTACAACTTCACAAACTCACAAGCTTTACCTCTTTATAATATTAGTATAGACTACCGAATTGTCCTCCTTTCGCTCGGGTGTGTCCCCAGGTGGGTGTAGTAGCCAACGTGCTATTCTAAGTCAAAGCCTATCTATCTGTGCAGTAAATTTCATCAAAATCCATTCAGCCGTTTCGGCGTGAAGGAGTAACAAACATACACACACAAAGTAGTCCGACTCTTATATAATTAGTATAAGTTTCAATTATATAGCAGTAGTTTCAAATAATTGAAAGCCGACCACTGGCCTTCAAGATCATAACTAAATTTATATGAACCGACAAAGTTTG